CGGCACAGAATGCCTGTTTTCACATCCGCCCACGGTCTCTGTTCCCCGCATCGTGTCCTGATTCGCCCCTTGGTTCTTAAACTCCTGCCCCTTATAAACGGGCAGCAATGCGTCTGCGTCATTTAAACGACTGCTGATTAAGCATCTCGAATGTGCATCCACCCTCCCTTTGTTTTCTACTTCGCATTTTTCTACCTATCATGCACTGTTAATCTTACTGTTTATTTCTGTAGAACCACATCGAGTTATCCTGACTGTCTCTTGACATATCAAGAATATCCGAACGTCCTGACTGTCTTTTGACATAGCTACAGCCCTGGGGTGCGTCTTTTCAGGTGACGAAAGGCAGCGCAGCATTAAGAAATATTGCATTATTAACAATTATTCGAGCTGCAAAACGAAAAGGCCAAGATTATCTACAGTTACAAGAGAACTCGTCAGCCAGTTCTTACAGTTCCTCGAGCTGCAAAACGAATAGACCAACGGTTCTAACACTATAATTTTTTTTGTATAAGAAAGGAGACGAGTCGAGCACTGGATCAATTAATTCACCGTCCTGAGCTTTCGGCTCCACACGAGAAGCCATCGTCAGAGAAAAAAAACTTTTCTTGCTACTGAAGCCTAATGTCACTAGTATTGCCACCACTACTAGCATTGCATTATTCATTGTATAAAGCATAAATATCACTTGTATCACTAATATCACCAGTAATGCTAAAATATACTAAGTACGTGCAGCACTGCTATTATCCTTAATGCAACTCACAATGGTACTACTAATCTTTCGTACTGAACTTCTCATGGGTGGTCTTAGTACTGACACCATCACTAGTATTCAACTACCCATGTAGCATTTTATTAATTGTTCTGTCGCTCTACTGTGTTTGTCTGATACTTTTTCATTTGTTATCGGCTATTTTGTTTGAAATTTCCTTTGTCGTTGTACGGCAACCTATTCTATCTGTATTATTTTATATACATAGCTGTCATTATCATTCCTATTTTACCGTTACTTCCATTACCGATATAAATAACAAAAAACACTGTCAGCACTTGTACTACCAGCTTTCTAGACTCCATAATATTAGTAATGCTACTGACATGACAATTCATAGCAGTAGTACTACCAGTAATTATGTGCTCTAGCACTAGAATTGATATCAGTAATATTGGAAATACTGCCCCTTCCGCCATTACAGCTGCTCCCACACCCACTCCCCAAATATTTCCTCCCTGATAGATACCCTTGTTTTAAGTGTAGAAGTTAAAGAAGGCGTACTTTCCTATCAAACAAGTACAAAAAATATTTTTTCGTCTATTTTTTCCATAAAACATATCTGAATTTATAAAGGCAGTCAAAATCAATGACAAAAATGCATAATACTTAAGTAGCGGTCAGAAAGAAGCTTGTTTAAAAGCTGGCATCCTATCGTGACTGAAATGACTTCAGAATAGACTACATGATAATCAGTAGTTCAACTTTACTCTATACCGATTAGCGAGAGAGTATCCATATTTCGCATATGTCTGCATGTTTCACGAATTTTAGGCTGTACTGTACGTTGACCGCCCTACCGACGTCACGAAAGCAGCCTTTTACCAAAGTCCCCGTTTTGTGCAACAGCAGTTGGGGGAAATGTAGGATACTTGGGTGGCTCGCAAGGGCGAGGAAATCCAGGGATACGCCGACCACAATGAATGGAAGAACTTCTTCGCTGCGATCAAAGCTGTTTACGGTCATATCGTCAAAGGCCGAGCTCCTCTGCTCAGCACTGATGGACCCACCCTACTGGCTGAGAGGGCACTGATTCTGAAAAGATGGACTGAACAAATCCAAAACATACTCAACCGTCTCTCCAGCATCTCCGAAGCCGCCATCGACCGTATGCCTCAGGTTGAAACCAACGCAGATCTTGACTTCCCACCTACCCTTTAGGAAACTATCAAGGCTGTGCAGCAACCTTCCAGTGGGAAAGCATCCGATTCCGATGCGAGCACTGCGGAAGTTTACAAATATGTCGACCACCAACTCATAAACCGCCTAACTACGCTCTTTCAGGAGATGTGGTGACAAGGCCAAGTCCCTCAGGATTTCAAGGACTACAATTGTTCATATCTACAAGCGAAATGGGAACAGTCAACTTTGCGATAATCATCACGGAATCTTGCTGTTCAATATCGCCGGCAAAATCTTTGCTCGTGTTCTTAATCATCTTAACAACCACCTGGAGCAAGGACTCCTACCAGAAAGCCAGTGTATTTTTAGTCGTCATAGCTGTACAACCGACATGATATTCGCTGTTCAACAGCTGCAGGAGAAGCGCCAGGACATGCGCACCTACTTCTACACACTATCGTGTATCTAAATAAAGCGTTTGACACGGTGCATCGCGCTGGAAT